TATTTAGACCATTTTCTCTGGGAGAGTCTCTTCCCCGCCAAGCTGTGTCCCTTCCTTGCTTTTAAACCTCTCAGAATTTACTACTCCATTCCTACAAGACCGGTGCCAACCTGGTTCCCGGCAGACCCCCTCAGCTCTGAGGATGCAGCCCCAACTGACACTAGAGTCACCAGCTGCCTCAGTGTGCTGGAGACTCACGGGCTTCTTAGTCTGCCTTTGTGATGCCCTGCTGCATGGGAGTGGGGGACACGGGGAATGAGAGCCCTACTGATGGCTCTGCTCTGATTAACTTGTCCCTGAATGTCCTTGAACCTACCCGAATGTCTCCAGGGTCCAGGCTGCGCTCGCTCCAAGCTGAGGCAGTGCTGCTGTTGAAGTAGGAGCCTGAGCGCTGCAGGCCCAGCTCGTCTTCATACACCTCTTCCACCATCTCCTCTCGAGAAGGAGCCCCTGGCTTCCGGAACTGGCCGGGGGAAATGGGCATGGTTGAGAAAAAGACTAACCTTGGGTCCCTGTTCACTACTCCTCCACCTGCCCCATGGATTAAGTCTTTACTTCATGAATCTTCACCACCCCCTTCTCTGATTCGGAATTCCAGGGTCCAAAGACTTTTGCTCCCTCTCACCCCCCTTGATTTTCTCAAACTTAGAGACCAGGGAGTCTCAACCTCCTGCCCCTGCAACTCTTAGCCATATCCTCAGCTCCCCACCTCTCTCTGTAACTGCTTCTGAGTTGATTTTCAGAGTCCTCCAACCTTATAGTTTTGTTACAAAGACCCCTCCAGTCCTACCCTTTATTTCCCTTGCCCAGGGGTTGGAGGTAGCTTCCTCCCCCAAGTGGGCTCCTTGCGAAGGGCCCCTGTTGATCAGAACCCACACACCTGCAGGGTGTCATCCTCACCCTGACCTAGAGAGGCACTGCTGCTACTGCAGATCCACTGTGTCCCTGACAGAGGGGCTGGGGGCGTCTACCTTACATCCAGGAGGAGGAGGACCTCACCTTAGGTATGAAGAGCAGAGCCAGGGTGGCGGTGACTGTGCAGTGAGTGTGGAAGAAGCAGAGGAGGAGGGTCCAGTCCGGGTGCAGGGAGGGAACCAGCACAAACCTGAGTGTGATGGGAGGGAGATTATCTGTAGGTGGGAGTGGCCCCTTTCCCCTTACCAGTCACACTCGTCCCAGCCCCAGTCCTGATCTCCATGGAGGTGCTGGTGGGGTGAGGAGGGCACTCCTCCTCCTTGCCCTCTCTGGGATGTAGGTCCTACCTCAAGGCTCACGTTAACACCCACCTGAGAAGCCCCCCCATACTACTACAGCCTACCTTCTCTGGCTGCCTATAGTACAGACTTGTGTGTCACAACTCTATTACAGACCATCCTGTGGATGGATTCTGCCTCCACCACAGGGCCAGGTCCTTATGGACACAGCAGGCATGCTGCTGGGACAGCTGAGGTGCGAGGTGGGACAAGGCAGAACTGAGCAAGTGTGGGAGGGCACTTCTTCTTGGGTGCTGGGTGAGACATGAGTGTAAGAAGGGTATCTATGGGGTAGGGAGAGAGCTACAGGTGGGGGGCCTTGCCCACCTTCCTGATGCATAGCAATGTTGTGAGGACGGCCGTGGGAAGGGTGTGCCCTCATCTGGGAGAAGCAAGGAGTAGTGTTAGGTGGGGAGGAGTCACGGGTAGGTGGGCCAGCCCTCACCTGGCTGCATGGAAGGCAGCAGAGAGCAGCAGCTCGTTGTGCAGGGCGATGCCCATGTAGCGCGGCTCATGGAAGGCTGAGGGCACAGCTCGGGTGGCGTAGCAGAGGAAGCTGCCCCAGCATAGGAGCAGCATCTCGGCTGTGGGGAAGCAGTGAGGGACAGAGCCGGCAGCACCTCAGCAGCCAGGCCACCCCTTTCTGTAGGGCTTGCTGTGGTGAACCTGGGCTAGGGGTCAGGGAGCAGGACCCGAGGACCCGTGGAAATGCAGAGCCGGGGCCAGGGCGAGACTGGACTCACCCACAACCATTATGTAGTCCCAGCGGTCGTGGTGGCAGAGGTAGAAGTGGCGGCCCATGGGCGTGTGGCCTCGGGTCACCAGGGGCGTGTACAGGATGCCTCGCTCCAGGACCCTCACTGTCCACACAGCCAGGAAGCCCAGTACTAGTAGCAGGAGCAGCGCCAGCCACCGCAGCTGCTGCCCACTGCTTAGATAGGGGCCCCGCTGGGCCATTCGAGACAGAAACAGCTGGAGCACTCTACAGGGGTATAGATGATGGATGGGGGAGGGGGGAGGGCCAAGGAGAGGGGGGCAGGGCTCTGTCCTCTGATAATTGCTCCCCTCCCCTCCACATCTACCTGTTTTCCCATCCCTTCCATGGTTTGCTGCCTCCTTACTCCCAGAAAAGTTATGTGGAGGGGAGGATTATAGTGATGGGGGCAGGCCTTGGGGACAAGGGAGTAGAGCTGGTAAGGATCCTACTGTGAAGAATTCCACTCCATCAATGAGCTGGGATGGCCAGAAGTGAGTAGTCTGAGAGCAAGGTCTGCTCCAGGCCCCACCTGTAAAGCTTGAGTATAATGGTGCCGTAGACAACGGCAAAACCTAGCAGCCGGACCCAGCGGAGAGCGATGCAGCGGAATACACTGGGCTTGAAGTACAGGATGAAGACCTGGTGAGGAGAGGGCAAAAGTGGCTGCTTTCCACTGCACTCCTATTATGTGCCAGGCCTATGCTAAGCACGTTATTGATCCTCCTAAGAGCAATAGAAGCATCATCTCCTCCATTCTGCATGTGAGCAGCTTAAGAATCAGAGGTGCCCTGGCCAGTAGAGATCAGTTGGTTGAGTGTAGTCCTGTGCACCAAAAGGTTGCCAGTTCAGTTCTCGATCAGGGCACATGCCCAGGTTGTGGGCTTGATCCACGGTAGGGGTTTTGCAGGAGGCAACTGATCGATCCATGTTATGTTCTCACATAGATGTTTCTCTCTCTCCCTCTCCCATCCCCTCTCTCTAAAAAAAAATAATAAAAATCAATAATAAAAAAGTGTTTNCCAGGTTGTGGGCTTGATCCACGGTAGGGGTTTTGCAGGAGGCAACTGATCGATCCATGTTATGTTCTCACATAGATGTTTCTCTCTCTCCCTCTCCCATCCCCTCTCTCTAAAAAAAAATAATAAAAATAATAAGAAAGTGTTTANATGTTCTCACATAGATGTTTCTCTCTCTCCCTCTCCCATCCCCTCTCTCTAAAAAAAAATAATAAAAATCAATAATAAAAAAGTGTTTAAAAAAAAAGACTCAGATTAGGTAACTTGTCCTAAGTCTTACAGTGGGTCATAGAGCTCTTTTAAGCCTGGACTGTTTGCTTCCAGAGCTCATTAGGCAAACCTGCCATTTGTCAATCTGAGTAGGGGGATTTGGAGGTCTCTGAATCCCCCCAGGAGGGCAGAGAAGAGGAAGCATTCTGGGGTTTGAAGGGCACACATTGGTACTGCGGAGGCCCTGGCAGATGGAGGTCAGCCTCTGGCTACAAACTCACAGGGAAGTAAAGCAGCAGAGATCCAAAAAGGATGGTTTCCAGCAGGACAACTCCAGATGCCCGGATTCTCTGTGAACCCAGGAACAAGAGAGGTGGGTAAGCAGGGCAGACAGAGCCTGGATGATGATGCAGGAGGGTCTCAGGCCTGTTTTAGGGGTCACTCAGTGGCCCTGGGCTAAGACTGCCCCATAACATTAGCTCCACCCTCCATCCACAGCCACGCCCCTACTCCCACCACAGGCTCTCAGCTCCCCTGGCACTAAGCCAGCTAAGGCCCAGGTTTCAGCCCCCACCAGCCTAGCCCCATTCTCCTCCCAACCCCAGCCTGGGCCCTGCTGCAGACCTGGGTTCAGATCAGAGGCTGCTGGAGCTAGAAGGTACCTCATGTATTCCTCCAAGCTTTGGTTTAAGCTGCTCCCCTTCTCTGCCCGGTAAACACCTGGTCGACTTTCTAGCCTGGCTCAGATGTCACATTCTCCAGAAAGTCTTCCCCATGCCAGCTCAGACAGGACAACTGGGTCCTTTCTCTGAGCTGCCACAGAAACGGACACACAACTCCATCCTTGCCTCTGTCTTGCTGCGCTGTCATTTTGTTTACATGTCTGCTTCCTCCATTCACTTGGGAGCTCCCTAAGGGTCCAGATCACTTCCCCTAGTTCCTATGCATTATTTTGAATCAAGTCCAGTGTCTTCATTTTACAGGTGAGGAAACAGGTCTAAGTGGTGAGGGAGGTCACTTGCCTAATGTCACATAGTGTGTTAGATTCAAGACCAGAACCGGTTTCTCCCAAATTCTAGTCTTGGGTAGCCTCTGGTCTCCAGCTGATGCTAGGGACCCAAGATGGGTAGGAAGTGTGTGCAGAAGGGAGGTGGGGAGCCTTGCTTACCTTGCTCTGGCGGCAGCGGTAGGAGACCAGCATGCTCAGGAAGACAGCCAACATGCAGCAGGCCTGGCAGGCCAACACTGCTCCCCGCAGCGCCGGGGCCTCCTCCACCAGGCACGGTGTGGCATCCATGCAGCTGGTGCAGCCCTCGGCACATGGCTGGCAATGAAACAGCCTCCCAGAGCTGCCTTGCGGGGATCCAAATTGCCCGGTAGGCTGGGTCGCACTCTCCTCTAACCCTGTAAAGAACAAGGTGGGTGCAGGGAGAGGGGCATGGCTGGGCATCCTGAGATCCTTGCCTTCTTTCCCAGTGGTCACCACCATCACCCTCTCCCTGCCCTCCTATGGTGGCCTCTGGGATGGGGGGGGGAGGAATGAGGAAGTGGGGACTGCCAAGGGAGGGCAGGGTAACAGGAAGAGGTGATGCCAAGCCGGGGCTCATCGCAAGGTCAACTTGCAGGAGATCAGCATGTTGCAGGCTCATCCTCAAACGAGATCCTGCCTGCCTCTTCGGCTTTTCTCGACCTTCTGCCCTTGCCCCACAAGTTTCTTCCCAGTGTCTCACCCAGATACCCACCTCCAGCCAGCCCAGCCTGTAAAACGCCTGCCTGGCCCTCACCACTGCTACATACCCGCAGAGAGGCTTGCGCCGTAAAAGCCAGGTTGGCAGCGGCAGAGGTAGCGGCCAAGGACAAAGCCCTGACTCCCCAGAGGGATGCACTGTGGGGACGACAAAAAAGCGATAGCTATTCGTATGGGGCTTTCCCTCCTGGGAAGAGATGGAGGATCCATCTACCTTCCTATCCATCGCCCCTGGGTCCACACTAGGGCGTCTCACCAAAGCCCTCCCGAGTCCCAAGGAGCCTTCCCTCTATGGAAACCCTGCTCTACCCCACGCCCACTGCCTCTCTTCTCCAAGAGACGCCCAAGCAGAGCATAGCGCTAGATCACTCTTTTATTCAGACCAGCAGTGACAGGAGCCTCGTAGGTCCCGTTTCCCAGTGCCCAGCTGTTGCTACAGTGAGGTGGAAGTAGGGAGAACGCTGAACCCAACCATACCTGTGTGCCTACACCCCGCTTCAAAGGGTCCCATAAGCCTCCCTCTTTGGCACTCCGGGGGATTGAAAAGGCTCCGCAGAGGAGGGGCTTCCTCCATCAGAGGCCATCTGGCTTTGGCACAGGACTGCTTTCCCCAGTCCTAATTCCAGGCTAATGCCAGGCTGGTGGGATGCCAAGGCCAGCTCTTTATTTCACCTCCGCCCATTAATGTTTACCCAGCAGGGGACAGAGCAGACCTCAGAGCCAGGCGAGGAAGATGGGCACATGGATGAGGCCAGATCTGCCGTAGGAAGTGGCTAGGAGCAGACAGCGTTAGCAAAGGAAAGGATCAGGAGATCCTATACCCAGCTCCACCACATCACCAAGGAAGGTTAGAGGGTGCTGCCCTGAAATCGTGGCCCAGCTTCCCCTCTTGCCTGGACCCCTGGAACATGCTCTGCTTCTGCCACAGTCTGCATGATCAGACAAAAGCTGCCCAGAGATGTGAATGTCGCTAGGTTTTAAAATGCACTGGACAATGGGATCCCTTCTCTGTCCCTGGACGGAAAGCTCCAAATACATGTGCCCTGAAGAGCAGTAGATGCCCAAACTGGCCCCACCTCCCAGCAGGCTTCAGGGCTCTCCTTGGCTTCAGTTTAGCTCAGGAACAAGCATGCAGTGTAACTGCAGTGTAACTACAGAGCAGATTAGTGCACTGGCCTCCCAGTTCCCCAGTATGGGGCTTGCAGGATTACCAGCCATTGCTTTCCATTATCCAGATTCTTCTGCACCCATGGCTTTGATTCCACTGGCATCTGGCCTGGGTTCCATCACCTGTACCAGTCCCAGAGCTCTTCAAACTCCTGCTTTGGTTAGATTCCTCCCACACCCCAACTAACAATTCCACTTATTTCAACAAACACCAGCTGAGCATCCTTTGTGGGTCAGAAGGAGCCTGGAGCTCAGTGACATGATATGACAATGTGGTCCAGGAGAAGGGAAAGGGATGATTAATAGAGGCTCAGGAGATGGTTCTGGAAAGGGTTCCTGGAGCACCCAGTACCAGAAGGGAAAGCAGATAGGGAGGCACACTGAGATTTCAAAGAAATGAGGGTGGCTGTCTTGGTTAAAGGGTGGGAGTTGGCTGTACATGTCCCCACTTTTAAAAAGCCTGGAAACTCATTTTTAGCTTATCACTAGGAACTCCTCTGAAGCCCTGAGAGGCTGGTGTGCCTTTGTCAGCTCCTTCTGGGAGCTGGGTGGTGGCAGTGGTGGGAAAGGGAGAGGGAGGCAGAACCCTATGCTCTGCTGCCCCCTTCCTTACCTGGGTGCTGTTGAGGTTACACAGGTGCGTGTTAGAGTACCATCCCGGGCCGCTGGCGCACTGATTGATGTCCACCATCTGAAGATCTATGTCCATCTGCACCTGCCCCCTAGGGCAGTGAATTGGCAGTTAGGGGCACAGAGAAGGATGCCAAGGTGGACGTGAGTCCTTGGGCCCCAGACTGTGGGCAATGCAAGCTCTTTAGCACAGTGGCGGCAGTGCGTGGAGAGAGGGCACGCATGCCTGCCATTTCTCCAATGCTATTAACCCTCACCATCTCTGTAGGCAACAATTCCTCTCCCCCAGGTCATCTCCCATCCCCCATCCTCCCTCAGCTTTTCAACATTCTAGCATTTCCTGGATTCTATCGATTGATAGAGGGAGGGGGCATGTCAAGACATTTGGGAGCTGGGACTTGGATAATCTGTTTGAAGGGGATTTTCACACTTCTCCACCGCATGTACCCACACATACATACACACACACACACACACACATACTCACACTCACACACATGGGACTCAACTATTAACTACCCCTCATTCTGCCCAAACCAGGTCTGAATTCATTATAGCAAAGGAGATATGGAATGGAGGAGACCAGAGTTAGAGCTGCCAGGCCCAAGGGCTCCCAATCCCTTCTCTGGTTGAGTGGGGAGAGAGCTGGCAGGGATCCAGGCTTCCTTCGGCCACAGGGAACCCTGCTGGGGACAATGAAGGGGGACACATAGCTGGGAAAACAATGTTGATTGCTGAATGTCTTGAAGTACTGTGCCCATTGGCTGCCTCCTTCCCACCGGGACTCCCAATCACCTCATTCTGGTAGAGGGGTCAGTTATTTGAGGGGTATCAGACTCCTGGGTCAGGACAGGCGGGACAGTGGAACCTACCTGATATAAGAATATAGCCATTGGGAGTGACCCTGAGGACCTGGCCAACTTCTGGACACAAAGGGCAATGGTTTC